CAACTATATAACAATAACACCTTTAAACTATCAAAATAGTTTTACCATCTTTTCTTCAAAACCAATATCAAAACCCAGCAGTTTATATAACAAAATATAAAGATTTTAAAACTCAGTGTATAATCAACAGTATTTATAAAAATCACAGTTTATAATCAATGGTAGTTTAAAAACTCACTGTTTATAATCAATGGTAGTTTAAAAACTCATAGTGTATAATCAACAGTATTTATAAAAATCACAGTTTATAATCAACGGTAGTTTAAAAACTCACAGTTTATAATCAACGGTAGTTTAAAAACTCACAGTTTATAATCAACGGTAGTTTAAAAACTCACCTTAACAAATCACAGATTCTGTAGTTTTAAAACACACGATAAATCACAAGCTCTTTAAACAGCTTTGAACAAAAGATTTGTTCAAGAACACTTCTTACCGCCACAACACTCTTTTTCTCTTTCAACAGATTTTTTTCTTCAAATGAAATGACAAGATAGAATCTTATCTTTTTATTTCTTTAAATACTCCCACCATGGCGGTGAAGATTATTTTAATTACAAAACTCTTAGGCGGTGAAAGTTTTAACCAATAGAAATATTCTTGGGTGGTGGGTTTTTCATTATAAAAATTTATGATTTCTTAACTATGAAGGTATAAGTTTTTAAATAATATAATAATATTTCCACCAGAATAACTTATCACAAATATGCACCACCTCATGTATGCTTCACACCACATGCATATATGTATAAATTACATACATATCATGCCATCTTTTCACATATATGCATGCACAATATCATGTTCACATTTCACATATATAGTTCATGCATTTCTACTTAGACATGCATATTTCACGTAATCCACATGACGAACACGTATAAATTACCTCAACCCAGGTTGTCTCAAACCTGGTTATAATAGGAGCATGTGCTATTAAGAGCATATTCGTTGGATATGCAGTAAATAGCAAGGCTTATAGATTATTGGACAAAGAGTCAGGAGTAATAGTAGAATCCAGAGATGTGGAGTTCTTTAAACATAGATTTTCAGAAGATGCTGAAAAATTAGAACCAATATTGGCCTCTAATCCCTCTTGCTCATCTCGTGCTAGTTCCAAAACCTCTATAGAGGCGGAYGAACCACGAAGAAGTACAAGAGTGAGAAAAGAGAAAAATCTGGGAAATGACTTTTTCTCGTACTTGGTAGAGGGGAGTCAAAATAAAGTGACAAGAGAGTTCATTTTCTCTATCAGTACTGAAGAGGATCCCAAAACATTTAAAGAGGCCATAACTTCAAGGGATGCTCCAATGTGAAAGAAGCCATAAATGATGAGATGGACTCCATTTTGGGTAATGGAACTTGGGTGCTAGCAAATTTGCCAACAGGGGTGAAACCCATTGGTTCCAAGTGGATATTTAAAAGACAGATGCAACCTGATGGTATAATATCATCTTTCAAGGCTAGATTGGTGGTGAAAGGATATAGACAGAAAGAGGGTGTCGATTATTTCGACACCTGTGCTCTAGTTGCTAGAATTAGTTCCATTCGAACTCTCATAGCAATTTCTGCCATAAAAGGACTGTATATTCACCAAATGGACGTGAAAACAACTTTCTTGAATGGCTATTTAAGCGAGGAGGTTTACATGGAGCAACCTGAAGGTTTTGTAATACCCGGACAAGAGAATAAAGTGTGTAAACTTGTTAAATCTCTATACGGGTTAAAACAAGCTCCTAAACAGTGGCATGAAAGGTTTGATACGACTATCACATCTTTCGGGTTAAGACATAATGGGGCCGACCGGTGCATCTACTCAAAATGCACGAGAGGGTACACTGTGGTAATCTGTCTTTATGTCGTGATATGTTGATCATCGGAACCAATCTAGATGGTATTCTTGAGACAAAAGGATACTTATCCTCGAACTTTAAGATGAAAGATCTTGGAGAAGTAGATACCATCCTTGGGATAAAGATCAAAAGATCAGCATCTCAAATCTCTCTATGTCAGTCTCATTACATAGAGAAGATACTGACAAAGTTTCAACATTTGAATATAAAGGAGTTTAACACTCCGTTTGATTCAAGTGTGAAACTCAATAAAAATACTGCTAGAGTAGTGGCTCAACTAGAATATGCTAGTGCAATAGGATGCATGATGTATGCAATGCATTGCACTAGACCGAATATTGCTTTTGTTGTGAGTAGACTGAGTCAATATATGAGCAATCCGGGTCCAGATCACTGGAAAACAATTGGTAGAGTATTGGGCTACTTGAAAAAAACCCAAGAACTAGAGTTGACATACTCTACGCATCCAGGAATCTTGGAAGGATATTCTGACGCCAGTTGGATAGATCACTCAAGTGATTCTAAATCTACAAGTGGGTGAATTTATACTCTTGCTGGAGGGGCGATTTCTTGGGCGAGCAAGACACAAATGTGTATCGCCCCATTCGACTATGGAAGCCGAATTTATTGGCCTAGCGGCAGCAGGCAAAGAGGCTGAATAGATTAGAGATTTGTTGACAGATATCCATTTATGGCCTCGACCGAATCCCTCTATTCCCATGTATTGTGACAATGAGGCCACACTGTCCAAAGTATACAATGCTGTATATAATGGGAAGTCGCGACACATAGGTCTCCGACACAACTACGTGAGACAGCTTATTGATGATGGTACCATAAGTATAATGTTTGTTAAGTCTTGTGGCAACTTGGCAGATCCACTAACCAAGCCTCTGACGAGAGACTTGGTAGGGTCAACCACCAGAGACATGAGTCTGAAACCACATAGAATCAATCAGTGATGGAAACCCAACTTGGATATAGTGCTCCTATTTACCAAGTTTAAAGGGTAACAACAAGTCACTTGGATGATAGAAGGTACTATCAAACGATAGATCCATGTAAGGTGAAAGATAGTACGACGTTGTCGAGAACAAGGATGAGTTAATCTCTTAACAAAGTTTAGAGACATCTTAACAACAAAGATGTTATAGAACTTTGCCTATATGACTTACAGGTGGTGCCGCCTCAAAAGAAGAGTAGTGGTTTCTCTTTGAGTAAGTCATGAAACAAGGTTTAGCGCATGGCCATATTAGCGCTCAGTGAGAGAGCAAGGTGGATAGATGATGTGTGTAGGTAAGCCGAAGTGGTTGCAAGATTCAAGGTTTAAATCCTAAGGATACCATTGGATTGATTCCTTCTTGCATACTTACATTAAACAGCGTTTAATCTTAGTGACACCACTGTAACATTGTCTATCATGAATGTCAGGAAACTTTCCAACCTAGTGGGGGATTGTTAAAAATTTTTAGGTTGGAAGTTAACCTTCCATCCTACATTGGTAGAGAGTTGATTTCTAGAGAAGCTTATAAGGCTTTCTCTAGAAGTGGGCTTTGAACATGTTAGTGGACTCATGGTGGGGGTCTTGAGTGGAAGGCCCAACACACATGCGCGCGCATGGCCGTGGCCGTGGCCGAGGCCGAGGACGCGGACGCGGGAACAATTCACGAAGGTGGCGCGAGAAGGCGCACTTTGCACTTCGCACGCCGTATTGGAGCAGAAGGAGCCTCGCCCCGAGCTCCGAGTATCTTTTTGGTACTAATTCGAGAGGAGAAGATATTTATTAAAGATTTATCCGAAATTTAAACTGATATTTATCCAGAACTTAAATTTTTGACCAAGTCTTATTATTTTAGAGATAGTGGTTTCGGTTGAGAAATTTTCTCACCACTATCACCGTTTTTTTGGAGATTTTCGTGGGCCTTATCTAGGGTTTCACCCAGTATAAATACTGGGTGAAGTCGTATCATTATATACATACGCAAACTGTTTCTTCTCTGACGAAATTCTGCTCCCGACATATTATTTCTCTCTACCATTTTGCTACATAAACCTTCTCTATATTCGTTGTGATTGCTGTTTACAAACGAATTTCCTACTACATCAAATCCTGGGGCTTTGCGACTAGCAGACTCACAGCTTCTTAAGAGTGGTCGTATAAAACCTTTAAGGATAGGTTTTCCGTGCAGTTCATCATCCGAATCGACAACATTTTAAACATGTTGGTTTTATAATTTTTCGCATTGTATTTAAATTTCCCGTTCACTAAGTGAACACTCTGCTTCTACCCCTTTCTTTCATTGAATCTATCGCGAAGGATAGATTCAATCTGTGTGAATTAGCACGCATTGAGGTTTTTGGGTGGGTCTGAATTCAAAAAGGTTTAACCTTTTTTATTGCTATAATATAATTACATTATATAAAGACTAAATCTTTATTTGGTGTTCATTTTTCTTATTGGGATTATTTTTCAACAAAATATTCTATCTACTGGTTTTTATATTTATTTGTTTATTTATTTTAATTTCTCCCTGTAACAATATTAATATAATTTTTTTCTAACATATTCGAAGGATGACAAAACATGCTCACTCCAGCTTGATCAGTTCAGGTTTCGAATCACTCAAGATTAACAAAGGTAAGATGTTGATTCATTGAAAACAAAAGGTTTTTTTAACAAAACACTACAGATCAAAAATACATTAAATGCAAAATTTTATTCAAAGATTACAATACAAATTACAAAAAAAGATTTCTACAAATCTAACGTTACAAACCATAAGGATATGAAACAACCCCATTTTTGTGCAGGAATATCAAACAACACAATTTTTGCAAAGTAATAGGAAACAACCCTATTTCTTAAAAGTGGCTCCAAAAAGAGCACCATTTTGTAAATTACCAGTCAAAATGAATACAAGATAGAAAAATTTGAAACTTTGTTACATTAAAACACAAACTCATTACATTAAATACCAACTGAAATTAAACCAAACTTTGTTAACCAAAAATATAATAATGTATGCATTGCTACAAAGAGAGAGAAACCAAAATTGCTTACTAACATCAGTAGTACATAATCCACCATAGGATGCTCAAATGCAAGTAAAATGTGCAGCAAGGCTTCATTTCCTAAACAAATATCTCTCATTTCTTACCTAACAAACCCGATGCCGAAAGAAGGCGCAACGCTTGAATCGAGTTGTCCAAAATCGTGGATGATCTCGGAACCGCCATTTTTCGTTTCTTCAAGAAGTCCAATGAATTCTGTAAGCAAAAAGGAGGCGGTATTTCCTTCAGAATAACTGGTTCCATTTTGTATATATGCATATTAGCATTGCTTTAGATTAGAAAACAATCGAGATATTTATAAAACCAAATATTCATTTGGCTGGAAATGAGGTTCTAAATGGCATGGCGGAGAGACCAAGCCTCACATGATCCCAAGTCTCTCTCTCTCTCTCTCTCTATATATACATACATATATATATATAAATGTTTTCTACTATTACTTACTGAATCAATGATAATTAACAATTTAAAGTCAATTATATATTAAAAATTAACAAATAAGACATAAAAAAGGTAAGAAAAATTAGATATCTTGTTATAAAAACCGCGCATTAGGCCATGGCGTGAGACACTTGAGCCATGGCGGCTGTTGCGGCGACCCGTTTAGAAAGTGTAAATGGACGGTTAAAATTGGTTTATATTTGAAACTCGTTATATATATATAATAATAATACTATCCCAATACAATACTAGCTGCTTATCATTTGATCAAAAAATTAATTACCCTGAGTGTTTGGATTTCTTCTTTCTTGGTCTTCTCTCAGATTTCTCTTCATCCGAGTCTGAGGAGAAAACTTTCTTGTAACAGAGAACATATATGTTAAGGCTCGTTTACCTAAAGGTGTAAAGAATATTAGTGGAAGTTGGAGTGAATACTTCTCATTAGCAGCAAGCAATTTGACGATATCATCTGGGAGCATTTCTTTATTATCTGGTTGTGTTTCGATTTCCTCTACAGCATCTTGGATGCTTTTATTGACACATGGTGTTAACTTTTGAGCCCATGTTTTACGTCGTTCTTTTCGTTCACGCAAAACCCTGTAAGGAAACAACTTATTTCATGAATAGCCGAAGCAAGATGAACCATTTACATGCGACTTTTTATTTAGCAAATGTGGTTCAACAAGAATGTTCAAGATCGATAAGGAAATGGGAGTTCATTAACAGGTTTTTAAGCATTCTTGTGTATGAAAGTGGTATTTTCTATTAAGCAATAACATTCTCAAATCTCTTAGGTCATGGTTTTGAAAAACACCAATAGGAAGTCATTTAACCAAGGACCCTAAGGTGTCGTTTGGTTTGTAGGATTAGATAGGATTTGGAGAGATTTAGAATTCAGTTCCATTCCAATCCCATGTTGGTTTGAAGGATTGATTAGATTTGAAATCCCGTGGTTTCATTGAAATCCCACAAGGGTGGCTAGTTTTTGATGTGATTTCATAGGATTTGTAAGTGATAATGTTTTTAAATATGTTAAATACATTTGTTTTGTAATAATCAGTTAATTTAATTATTTTTAAGATTATTTATAATTTGTTTTATTAAATTTGTTATAAATAATGAAATTCAATTCGATTTCAAATCCTATAAACCAAGCACACGAAAAATTCCAATTCCTCAAATCTAAATCCTTCCAAATTATTCCATAAAACCAAATGCCCCATAAGGGTATATTTAGATTTTAAGTATATAACCTTAAATGAGATTTTAATTAATCAACCACCTTCTGATCGGTATGAAGCCAATTTTTTCTTTTAAGAGGTCAAAAGGTCATGGATTTTATTTAAAATCTCATTTAGGGATTGTTTGGTTGGTAAGTCTTATATAGATAAAGTTGTCTTTATAAACTAATCTGTCTGTATAAATTGAGAAGGGTTTTGTTTAGGATGATTTTTTCATAGATGTAAGAAGAGTGTTTTTTAACTACAATAAGCCTGTTTGAAAAGGCTTGGCATAAAGCTCCCCGCTGAAAGCTTACCGAATAAGCCACTTTCTGTATTATTAAACCACTAGCAATTAACAGTCATGTATAGCTGACCAAATATGTTGCGAGTCTTATTAAGCTAACAAACAAGCCCTTAAACTGCAACAACCAACCGCCATGCTAGATCTCACTCTTAGGAATCCAACATAGTTATTTTCTTATTATAAACTCACATGTAATTCTGAATTCACGAATATAATCAACTTTCTTCGCCACAAGATAATACTTTGCAACACAGACTAGAAACTTATTCGCGTTATATATAATAATGATGTGAACCAACGTTTTTCATGCTTAACGAACATCAACCATTATTCTAAAGCAAAAAAGGCTCCTATTAATTGAATGTACAACAATACGCAAAGAATCGCACACCTCGCCTTATTTTCTTTCTGAATCGTTCTTATCTCTTCGTCCTTTTGTATTGCCTGTTTATCAAATCACGAACTTTGATTCAGAAATAACAAACCAAAAATGAATTTTAAGATTCATAACGCTGAAGCAAAAGTAAAGAAGTCTACCTGTTCAGCGCCGAATTCCTCCGGAGCATCGGAGTCGCTATCTTCTCTTCCCGACATCAATTAACAGAGACAGGACCAAGAATTTAAGCGGGGCGAGCCTAATGTAAATACATAAATATAAATATCAATCACAAATTTACAAATAACAACATATGAAACAAGAAATTAAGCAAAAACCTACTTTAAAAACTAACAAGCCATATCACATAGAGCAGTGAATAAAAGAGTAACTCTTGGGTAGTTCACTAAAAAGACAGAAAGGTTCCACCATGGGCGTGGGATAGGATAGATACTGCAATCCATAACCATTTTCATAGAAAAAATAGAAGTTCCTTTGCATGAAGTACATGTTATTAAAGCAAGGTTCTAAATGATGTTAGGAATGGTGGCGAGGTCAAGGCGTTTCTTATCGTGACAAAAGGCGTTTCTTAACAAAAATCATGAGATTTTTTGATTTTGTAACTCCCAATTAATGATATGGGAGTTACATAAAAAAAAAAATACATATTCATCCTTGTCATTAAATTACAAGATGAATATGAACCTATATATAAGATGGATTGCCATTGGTTGAAAATGGTTAACAAAGTTAATACAATAAACTTGGTCAACATTTGAATCAAGCATGCTCTCTCTCTCTCTCTCTCTCTCTCTCTCTCT